ATTAAAAATGCACCATGTGTGAGCCTACTGTGTGTAGTAAATCGTGTCTAGGGGATGCAGAGGCGCGCGCGCCGTTACAATCACGTCATTTTTGGCTCATGCGGACGCGTCGAGTATAAACAAGGCTTCACGCTTTAACCAGCTCAGCCACTTCACACTACGCTCACATCAAGCTCTTCAAGCTAACGATACGCAAGCTAACGAAACGATGGCACAACGGTGAGGGAGTAGGCTATTGCTATATTGAAATCTGCAGGGGTTTTCCTGCATAGACAATTATGAGGCGGCCGCCTCCGTCAAATTTATAGTTAAGAAACAATATAACGTTATAGACTACACACGACCAGAGTGCTGTTTTCCTGAATGCAAGCACGATTGAAACCAAGATATTGATTTCATAACAGTTCAATAAACAAATAGTTAAAATTAAGTTACTTACATTTTTAGACGCAATTACTGTTTTTGTTCTGTTTCAGCAGCGAAAATAGTTCCAAACAACAGAACCAGCGCATCTCACAGCAACACTCATCCATTATTCATCACTGAATGATTCAGCGTTTTGACCTAATCGCTCGAGTCAAAGATTCAATTAACGTTACCCATTATTAAACCGCCTCATTCTGAATCAATCAGCCGTTTGAACGAATCGTTTGAATGAATGACTCAATGACTCGCTCATTAAGACGGCCGCCTGCCGCCTCCTACTGGCGGTTTAGTTTCAAAGTATCATTCTTTTCAACATTCCTTATTTGTATATTCAAAAAATATTCAAAACAATCTCATGATCTCATTTAATACAGTTATAATTTTTCAATGTAAATTATTTAATTTGTTTGGTAACAGCCTTGTCGAAATGAAATTTAGAGCATACCAGTAGGCCTACATGAAATAAAATTAGGGGGAAAATGCCCTTTATAAAGGTACAAAAAATTATTCCGATAAGAGTGTTTTCAAAAATGAAACATTGACAATTTAAGTTTAAAGGGAGTAGGCTAAAGCCTCTGTTTAGGCTATAAAGGAAATGTAATTTTGCCAAAAGAAGAACTTTTAATTTAAATAAATGTTAATTTTAAATCAGCCTACTTCAGTGTGATATGTTACCATATTATCACGCTTAATTGAATAATTGTAATGTGATGATCAGATGCAGATATCTAAATCAAAGAATATGGGTGGTTGGCAGGTGGATTATTTTTAATTTTTAACAACAGATTCGAGTGACTCAAAGTGCACCAGATTAATGAATTTATCTTTAAAATATACAAATTTTTCTCCCGGGGGGGCAAGCCCCCGGACCCCCCTAGTGTTACGATTTTACCACCTCCGCCTCATTTAGAGCCGGGAAAAACCCTTTATTGGCTATTGTTAAAAGGAGATCTGTGTTTTATGTTGTTGGAAAAGGGAAAGAGAAGTGCTGTACATGACTGTTTTAGGCCTGTAATTGATTGATTATTGAGGTAATGAATAGTAGTAGGTCTGTAATTTGTGTGAAAATATTTTTGAAGAATTGAAGGATGACTGTTGTCATAATATTTTGTATGCTAGTTGCACTTACCATTTTGATTTGAAATAGCCTATGTTTTAAAAGGGAAAATGAAACAGTACATTATTGGCTTAGGCCTGTAATTGACTGATTATTGTGTTTATATATGAGTAATAAGCCTGTGGATATATACTTAACAATGTTTTATTACTGTTGAAAATGTTGAATTATAGTTGACAGTTTGTATAGTTATATACTATTTGTATAGTTAAATAAATATTTTGCTAGTGACTAACAGGCAACAAAGAATGTCAAAGTAGAACTACATTGTGGCCTTGTTTTTTCATAATTGTCTGCAAGTGGTAGATCTTGGTTTACATTTGGACTTGGGATGTGATCTTAGGCTTGATAAGGTTGGTGACCACTGATGTACATAGTGCTCATTTGAACCAAACACAATAAGTTCAGTTTTGCTCTCATTAATACTCATGAAGTTAGTTGCAAGCCAGTGTTTTAGTTCTTCCAAACAGTCCATAATGGGCTTTAGGGCCTGCTTGTTATCCCGCTTCATAGGGATATACATTTGGGTGTCATCTGCGTACAAATGGAAAGAGACCCCATACTTGTTAAAAATAGACCCTAGTGGAAGCATATAAAGGGAAAACAATACAGGACCCAAAATTGAACCCTGAGGAACACCTGAATTTAAAGATATTTCAGAAGATGAATGGTGTCCAATATTGACAACGTACCTCCTGTCAGACAGATATAACCGAAACCACTGTAATACTGTGCCACGAAGTCCAACACATGTTTCAAGACGTGATATAAGAATATCATGGTTGATTAGATCAAAGGCAGAACTGAGGTCTAACAGAACCAGAGCCATAGACTGCCCGGAGTCAGTAGTTAACATGATATCATTTAAAACTCTTAAAAGAGCTGACTCAGTACTGTGACAGGATTTAAAACCAGATTGAAATTTTTCATTAATAGAATTTAAAGTCAGATAAGACT